TTTTCAAAAAAAAAAAAAAAAAAAAAAAAAACAAAAAAAAAAAAAGGAATTGTGAGGGACAAATGCTTTGCTCATCATGCACTCTCATAAAATAAAATAATAAAATAATAAAATAAAATAAAAATCTTTTTTCCACCGAGATGCGTTTTGATAATGAACGAAATTTGAGGGTTGAGCCACCTAACTAAATTACTCTTATTATGAACTCGAGGAGAATATGTAACTAGCTAAAACGGATAATATCTGCTAATTGTGAGCTTGAGTTGTTACAAATGGTATCAGAAACAGACACTGAGCTGTGTGCCAGAAAGGATGTTGGCCTTCAAGGGGGTGGATTGAATGTAGAGGGGAATGAAGCCTTCCTTCCTTTCCCTAGCAGACGTGTTTTAAAATCGTAAGGCTGACGACGATACGTAATGAGCAAAAGTCGACAATATCTGTTAATGATGGACTTGTTACAACAAATGAAGATCTTGATCCAAATCTTGGGCATAAGTTTACTATTACATAGATTTAGAGTTCTTAGGATTCCTCTTTTACTTGGATATCACATGAACTTAATTGAACATCCCGTAAAGATAATTAGGGTAGCATTAGCGAATTGAGGTAAGAATTTATGTAATAACCCAAGCCCACCTCTAACAAATATTATCCGTTTTGACTTGTTACGTATCGTCGTAAGCCTCATAGTTTTAAAATGTATCCACTAGACGGAGATTCTCATACCCTTATAAGAAATGTTTTGTTTCTCTCTTCAACTGACGTGGGATCTTACAAGTCTAAAATATTAACTCGAGTAAAGTTAAAAATTGAATTTTTTTTTTTCTCTTTGTAATGGAAAATACTATGATTAGTGGAAAATCATTGTAAGTATTACGCGTTGAAAAAAGTGACACATTTCATCATTAAAAACATAAATTGTTTCAATCCTAAACCCCAAACATAACATGTTTATACTATGTTTTTGTCGTTGACATCCTTCGACCAAGTCCAATCCCTTGAATTCAACTCCATTTTTCTTTTTCCCTTTGGAGTTGGTGGAAAACGACTTCTTCCACCTATAAATCCAATATAAAATTTAGCTTCTCGTCTCTCACCAACCTTTTGCTTTACGTATATAATCCCGACCTTAACAATTGATAAAAGTTCATGATTTAGTACGTAATTGCTTCCAGTTTGAATAAAGAACGAGAGGTTCGTTCGATACTCAAACAAAGAAACAAAGGGTTTATTTATTTGCATAACCGAAAATTATCCATCTTTCAAATTAATAAAATCAAGGCTTACAAAAATAGTACTTTAATTTGTCATACCAATCTCTCGAAGCTTATTTTAGACCATACCATACTTGTTTTGAACGGAAAATTAAAGTAGTAGAAAAGGATGAGAAATTTGGAAGCTACTAACTCGGTCTATAAAAGCCTCTTCAATTAAGTGATTGTATAAGAAGACGTTATTGATATCTAAACAGTAGAATTTTGAGTGCCTTTTGCACTTAGTGTCAGAAAGAAAGGCTAGAGATGCTTCTACAGAGAAGATGTTAAAACCTAAACTTAGATAAGATTTGAAAACTTAAATGGATCAACACTCGACCCATTATTCTGACTACGCTAGTATTATCGGATTCTATGAAATTGTAATAGGAGATGGTTTTATAATGTGGGCTAAAGGTTTGTGAAATAGTTAATGTTAGCATATTGATTATGAGCTTTGTATCTAATAATGTTAGGAATCTCTTTTTAATATTAACAAACTATTCACAATAATGTTAATGATTTATTTTTAATAATTAATAATAGTTTTGATTATTTTGTTTTTAATATAATATTTTATGAAAAAAATCGAGTAATTTTAAACCATATGTGGTTAACGTACCAAAAAAAAAAAAAGAAATCGTGTTCAAAAAATAACCTAAAAAATTTATAATATATAATTGTTTGACTTATTGCATAACACTATTAATATGAACGGTTTTATAATTGTTACAAATGATTTGATCTAAATTGTTCAAATATGTGAGTGAAGTATCATAGCTTTTGTATGAGATTGAATCACAATATATTTAATCTCTATTTATAAACCTGTTAATTAATTTTTTTTCATAAATAGTGCTTAAAAAATTACTAATAAAAAAAAAATTTATAAAAAAATAATAAAAAATATATATATATATAAAAAGTCAAAGTCAACTTTAATGGATATTTTAGTCATTTCAACCTTTTTTTCCATTAGTTAAAGTGGACGGATATTTTTAATGTAACGTAACTTGCAAATATTTGATATTTAAAATTTGTAAAGCTTTAATTATTTATTTAACATATGTAGTAGATAAATAAAAAAAAAAATTAAAAAATAATCCGACAATACAATTTAAACCCACAAAAAATGAGAGAATAAATTATCTACCTCGTCAATTTATTTACTTTAATATTTAAAAAAGGAAATTTAAATTTATAAATTTAGTGAGCTGGCAGTTGGGACACAAAAAAATAGTAGTCGGTAGTAATAATGAAGAAAAAAAATAATAAAAATTATGAATATATATATATATATATATATATATAATGGAAATAAATAAATAAGAGCCCCGAGTATGTGGCACCTAGGTCTAGCCCTAGAGTTGGGTAAACGGTCAACGGAACTCCGGTCAGCTAAAGTCGTACACGCGCATATATATATATAATTTTAGCTTGAAAATATTATTTTATGTAATCAAAATACTTTTAAATATTCAAATTTTTTCAATAAATTTCTAAATATTTACTTTCTGTTTTTTTTCTGGATAATACAAATTATTTTTATTGTTTTTTTAATGTTAGAAAAATGTTAACTTGAAAGGGTGATAATGATAAATATTTTAGGATTTATTAAAAGTATAATTATTATTTAGAAATATTTGATATTATATATATAAAAAAAAAGAATAAAATATGACAATCTAAAGACTTGATGAAATCAGGAATTTTGGGTAGGTGCAAGGTAAAAGGGACACATATCGAGTACTGATTGGGACACATGTCAGAAAAAATGTGGTGCTATACGACTGGCCGATTGAAAGATACATGTTGATGGTTGGTTTGTATGCGAAGATCTGCATGGGACCTAACCTGATCTAAGATCCAAGATTTGCTCCGCTCGTCTTCAACCTAAATCAACTAGCTTGAATCGATTGTTTGGTTTGACTCATATTAGACGTACCTCTCTATGCATGTCACATGCTATAGGAGCGTATAACCACTCGCTAAAATTACATCTATTTCAAAAAGATCAGAAATGTCTCAAAGTGTACTATAGGGTGAGGCATGTCATGAATGTCTAAAAAATGTGAATACGACATGAGTTTTCCTTAAGTTTTGTCATGAGTCTGTCAAGATCATGATCTCGCATAGTTGAAAATGTACGATCATGAAACTAAGCATATCCATCATGTGATTAGGAATTCAGTTACGATGAATGCACGTTATAGCATGCCTAATTAGTAATAATCAAGATCATGTTAGAGATTAATGATTAGTATGTATGATGTATGACTATCCTCGCATGTGATATATATGAGTGTACTTAGCCTGTCTAGCAGCTTTGTGTTATGTTAGGGACATGATTACTCCCGAACGTCTGGTAGTGTGCTACTTTAAATTGCCAAAGAGCTTAATAGACATGCCATTTTTTTTTTTTATCGAGTTTGACATATAAGTTTAAAATCCATAATAAGCATAAATAGAGAAAATGAGTGAATAATAGTCACAGGCATGTCGCCCAATTAGTCTACTAAACTCCACAAAAATCGTGACTGACGTGTCAGACTATGTGGCTATTTCAATAGTCAAAATGTTTCATAAATAGGTCATATTTGATCGAGATCGAGTCTTACATATGAGTATAAATAAAGCCAATAGGTAAAGGTTACAAGCTACAAACCCAATATATTAATTATGCATTACGAGTTCACATACTAGCAAAAATCATACTTAATCAAAGTTAATAGGGTCAACCAGGTCACTAAGTTGAATAATAGCATAATCATGCTTAATCAGAGTCTAATCCCCTCAATTAGATCATCAAAAGCTCAATACAAACAATATTTAAGGAGTGTTTCGTGTTGGTCGAGCTCCTTTAAGT